TTTGGATCCAGATGAAACTAAACACTCACAAAGTCTCATCTGCCTCCAAGCAGAGTCCAAACAGAATATGTGTTTCCTCAGACAGATCCATTTTGCTAATAACGCAGGCTAAGATGATCTGAAAAGGGGCGCAAATCCGTAGTTGTATGGACGATATGTAGATAAATGATATATTTTTTGTGCTTCTTAACGCTTTGTTTTCTAGTAGCAATGTTCTACTTAGTGGCAGACATACTTTTTTGCAATATAATTAGTACGAACTTATTAAGTATATAATTTTATAATAAATACACTGTAGAGTCCAACTCATTTTCTCAGTATTATAAGCTTGAATCGTGCCTAGTTTATTATGTTTTAATAAAATTTGTTACTTAAGAATTAAAGCAGTCCATTCCCAATGTTTTCACTAATTAACATGCAACTTAGGTTTTATGACTGTTTTTCCCTTAAAACTTTCTTCTTGAATACTTCTGAAACACTTAACAAGTGGCACTTATTTAAAATTGAATTTCGTAAAAGAAACGCAGACAATCTTCAAAAATAAAAAGACAGAATTTCTTAATTTATGCGAAACGGCCGAGTGATTAACTTTATTTCGCCTTGGAAGTATTCGTCTATGAATTTGGATTTCTTTTACATTTTGGAAAGGTTTCGGTTCCTAATTAGGCAACATTTTTTTGCCTAACGTAAAGTGCGTTTTCGTCTATTTTATTGTATTTTCGGTACAAATTTGTAAACGTGGGAACTTTTGGGTTTTTAACAAGTTTTCTTAATAAATAAAATTATGTTAAAATATACAAAATGTGACATAAAATGTTCATTACACTTGACCTGTGTGAATTTCGTATTTTTCTTAATGGTTAGCAGGTGCTTCAAATTACAAAATTAATAGTATTGCCACCTAACGGAAAATATGAAACAATAGAGATTGTTAATTTTTTTAAACATTTTTTTTTTTAAAAAATTGCTACATTTTTTTTAATTTCAGCATTTAAAAATATGAACTTGCACTTTAATAAGCAAAAAAAAAAAACAAAAAAAAAAATTGTGCGGATGTTATTTAATTTTAATTATAATTATTTTTGCTCTTTTGTTACGTAATATTTTTTTTTATTATTATTGAAAAAAATTAATATGCATAGTGTTTTTAAAAATTATTCTTTTGTATAATTACGTACTGTGAAATATAATATTTCATTGATTTTCTGCCTACTTGCATTGCAGCTGCAAATTCACGACGTGTTCAAATGAATTGAATTTGAGATTTTACTGAAAATCACGTACAAATTGCATTTTCCTTTTTTTTTCTCAATTTTCTTAATATTCTGTTATATTTGTTTTTCACATAAAAAAGCTGCATATAAATTTAAAAATAATATTTACGCAAATTATTAATTAATCCAACCTACGCAATTTAATTTATATTTTTAATTGACCTTTGTCTTAAGCACGCTTTAAACCAAAATTAATCATCAAAATTAATCATGCTTAACATATATATTATTTAATATATATTTTTTCATTTACAATATAAAACACAAAATATTATAATTATTATGAAGAATTTATAAGACCTAGTTTTGAATATGAAAAAAATAGAATTACTTCTTAAAGAATGTGATTGTTACTGAAAACTTATATCTATTCGATTCAATAGCAAATACAATCAAACTTCCTTAACACGAACTTCTATAACTCGAATTTTCTATAATTCGAACTAAAAAGAATGCAACATAGTTTTAGAGAGCAAATTAAATACAATTCTGGTTCCTTAATTCGAACTTCTATAACACGAATTTCTCTATAACTCGTATAAAAATATTGCCTCATGGGAAAGGCTATTCAAATTTTTGCTTTAAGTATGAATTCTTTCTGGTGGTAGGGGAAGTCCCTTTTTCTAAACCAAATGCTTCAGTTTTTTCTTTCTTATGTTACTTCTTTGTGCAAATGGTGGTCCCTGGCGCACTATTAAAGCTGGATTTAGCCAATTTTCTACTTGGGAAGAACAGGACGATAATTATTTCATTTTGTGGAATAACATTGATGAAAACCGTGAATTGATGTAAAAATAAAGTAAAGTTAATGAAATAACTTCCAATGCTATTCTTGGCCAATATATTATATTGAGTTTGCCAAAGAAATTTGTACATTAAGTTTTCATACAGTTGACGATATTATTGAGCATTATAGCTCTGTATATATCTCATTATAGTGGATCCGATCTTAGCGCATCCAAAAACGATGATGAGGATTCAAAATTCTGAATTTTTATTCGCAAACGAAAGATACTACAACTGATGATCACTGTAAAAGTTTGAATAAAGTATAATCTTTTTTTGCTGAAAATAAAAAAAATCCAAACTCCAAATTTCTAAATATTTTACTTCACTATAATTCTGTGCTGTATATGTATTACCTTAAAATGTAATTCTAGTTTCTATCGGAAATAAAAAAAAATAAAAAAAATTCTCTAACTCGGAGACCCCATAAGTCCTTCGAGTTTTTCTTTGCAAAATGATACTTCGAGTTATGGAAGTTTGGCTGTATATCATAATAATTATGTGATATATATATTAATTTAGAAAAAAAAAATAATAATTGCTACCGGTTTGATTTAATCTTAAAAGTAAATATTTAATTCTTATTTAACTTCATAAAACCCTTTAATATTCTTTTTTTATATCTTGTTAAAGTTATGCTAATTTAAGAAAACAAATAAAGGATATATGTAACTACTATATATATATCTAAAGTTTATATTAAAAAAAAGATATCACTAATCAACATTCCAACGACAAAATGCCAAATTTATATTGTATTATTAATTTACACAAAATGTGAATTATACATAATTTAATAATAATATTACGAGTAAAACTTACGAAATAAGTGAAAATATATTTTGGCCTTTTCTGTGATGACGGTAAGGACTTTTCATACAATGACTAGCATTCTCGCTAAAACCTACCAGCATTGAAGAATGCATTAGGAAGTCCTTTGTTTAGTTGATTCAAGAACAGTATGAGAGCCTTGAAGATGATGACTAGTACTGTCATCAGAAATTACTAGCGATGAACCTTATATGGAGAAAGATAAGGAACATTTTAAGACATTATTGCGACACGAGACTGGAATACTGAAATATAGCATATCTGATTTTGATCGAGCTTTTGAGAGACAGATATTCTTTAATTTGTTGTTGAATTTGTTGTTTTAGATAGATAGATAGATTTTGAAAAGGTTCGGAACTTGTCATCACGTCACTGCATCTTTTGAAGACTATTGCAGTTCCGACGATAGCTATGCAGTTCCATAGGTGAGTAGCAGTTAAAAATGCTATTATGTTCTTTGGAGAAGTGTTGTTTAATTCCGTTATAAGTGAGTAGGCAGTTGATAAGTATCGAAGTCTGAGTCTGGCGAGATTATCAAAGTGACACAGAATGTGTTCTGCTGTTTCCTCTTCTTCATGACAAAGTCTGCAGCTATCGTCACTTTTAATATCTAGATTCGATAGATGCTTTTTGACTCCGCAATGTCCATTGAGAAACCCTGTGGATGTTCTTTCTGTTCAGTATTTGATTGATCCTTTTCTGTTCAGTATTTGATTTCTCCTTTTCAGCTTTTGATTGATCCGCATGAATTCTTTAGCTTGTCTGCAGACAATTACTTTATGCCAATCAGTCTGAGGTGCTCTCTCCAACCATTTATTAATTCTAAATTTGAAAAAGATTCATGAAGGACTACAGAATGAATGTGACCCAATATAACATGATGCTGCGTCTTTCGGGCTAGTTAATCGGTTTTATTGTTTTCACTTTGCCCTGGGATCCATATTAATTGAACCCCGTTTCTTTTAGCAAAATCTTTGAGAAGTTGCAGGCATTCATGTGGGAGTTTTGAAATCACTCGAGGTAAGCGTAGTATCAGAAGTCCTGATTTGGTGTCAGAGAAAATATATACATTTTTCTCTGTGAAGGGTTTCCCTTTATATTCCCTTAGACATAGTTCAATTGTGTGCACTTCGGACTAAAAACTAAATTTTCTTGAGCCATATTTGAGAATATTTCCTCTTTTGGTTTAATTCCATAGACCCCTACCTCCAATTCTTCTATGGTTTTGCAGTCATCCGTGTACTATAGGTGGTAATCTTCAACGTATGTATTCCTGTCTGGTATTAGTACTAGAAACTTCTAGTGGAAGGTAAACCTAGTCAAACTCATTGTTTTTTAACATCCTTTATTTGTTTTTCTCATATATCTTTTAATTATCTTCTTCTATAAATATTTTACTTGAAATATGAGAAATGTGTAAGAAAATTATTCAAAGTTTAAAGTTAAACTATGTATTAAATACTTCTGTATATATATTATTTTGAAATACTTTCTTAACCTATTTACTGCATCAATCATTATAAAAAACAAGACTTTACTTTCTGTTAAGCACGTCATGAACCCTTCCCTAGGTTAGTCTAACCAAATGCGACGCTTGGTGTTGCAATAGCGGAGTGGCTGCCACTTCAACACGCGTTCGTGAAGTTTTTTCCCCCGCGGCACATGAAACTCATTGTTATTCCCATGTTCCTGCTGCTGGTGGGTTTCTTTTTCTAAATATGCAACATGCTTAGTTTTTGTGAGCAATGTGGAAGTAATGCATCAGACCCTCATCTTGTGTAATCTAAACACAATTGTAGGTTGCAGTTGCAATTGCAGTTTGTTTACACTTCGGTTGCATCTAAAATTGTGTCATAGTTTCGATTTCATTTGGGAGCGAATGAACTGAACTGAACTGAACTCATCCGACTTTCAATTGTGTGAACAAAACGGCGTTGCAATGTTAATGCCGGAAATGTGTTTTTTTCTATTTTAATTGAACAAGAAAATATTAACAGTTTTTTTTAAAAAAAAAAAATATTTTCTATTTTATTATAAAAAATTACGATATTTGTTTTAATACAGATTTCAAATTACATACTCTGATAATCCTTTTTTCTTTATTTACAGATTTTATTTGCTTCTTGCGTTTTGTTAATTGAGGCTTTGGTAAGTACTTTTAAGCTGCTTTACGATGTAATTTATTTTATTTTTATTTTCATTTTTATTTTGGAAAACTGTTAACTGTTGTAATCCAAACATCGATGGTAGCCTCACTTGACCAATTTTTCTATTACAATGTTTAGTAATTTCTCGTTTTTTATTACGCTTTAAATCACATAATAACGTCTTCACCCAGTTTTTTTTTATTGGTACAAAAAGCATTCAAGACTTTTCTCATACAATTGTCAAGACGCTTATATGTTCACGAAAGGTGACTCAGTTACGCTTTTAGTGTCAAAGTATTAACCTCGTAGCGCTATATAACTGGAAATTGCTTAAATCGCAGTGAACTTTAGGGTTAAGAGAAATAAAAATTGAATTTTTTAAGTGAAAATCAATCGTTCGCATAGACGTAACTATACTTTGTCATACCACGGAAGTTTGTTGAACTCTCTTGTTATCCATAGTGCGTGTATAAATTTTCTTGTATGGTTTCAGAAAATCAGCACTGCAGTAAGATTTGTTGAAAGAAATTTTAAAAATTTAGTTTATGACGAAATATTTTAATTTTAATTTTAATAGCATTAAAATGTAATAAACTTAAATATTTTTTTTTTGTATATAATATTAATACTAAGTGATTTATTAAAGAAAGGCACAAATAACACATGCCCTTAATTTTTTAAGATTGAAAATGTTTATACACCGATTTTGTGTGATAATTTTATGTTATGTTATTTTATTTGATTTTATATTATTTTATTTTATTCTATTTTATTTATTTTAGTTTACTTTATTTTTATTTTGCTTTATTTTATTTTCTTTTAAATTGTTTTATTATATATTATTTCATTTTATTTTGTTATATATTATTTTATATCATTTTATTTTATTTTACTTTATTTTATTTTGTTTTGTTCTATTTTGTTTTTTCTGTTTGTTTCATTTTATTTTATTATATTTTGCGTTAGTTTTTCTATTTTAGTTTGTTTTATTTTACTTTGTTTTTATTTTATTTTATTTTATTTTATTTTATTTTATTTTAATTCACTTTATTTTATTTCATTTTGTTTTATATTAATTTATTTTATTTTATTTTATTTTATATTATTATATATTATTTCATTTTATTTTGTTATATATTATTTTATATCATTTTATTTTATTTTCTTTCATTTTATTTTGCTTTATTTTGTTTTGTTCTATTTTGTTTTTTCTGTTTGTTTAATTTTATTTTATTATATTTTGCGTTAATTTTTCTATTTTAGTTTGTTTTATTTTACTTTGCTTTTATTTTATTTTAATTCACTTTATTATATTTCATTTTGTTTTATATTAATTTATTTTATTTTATTTTATTTTATTTTATTTTTTTCTACTTATATTTCATTTTATTTTATTTTATTTTATTTTATTTTATTTTATTTTATTTTATTTTATTTCATTTTATTTCAATTCAATTTAATTTATTTTATTTTGTTTCATTTTGTTATATTTTATTATTATTATTATTATTATTATTATTTATTATGTTGAGCCTAGTTGAATCAGTACACTTGAGCACTTTTACTCTCTAGTAACTGCGAGATTTCTTCCTAACCCCTCTCTATGCCTTGACTGGATTATTGTTTATCACTTCATCAGACTAAGCAATAATTGACCTCAGGGCTGCATGCCGGGCCAAGGAGCCTGTAACCATTCTGACGGTTGATAATGAGGTGTTGTTAATTTTATATTTTTTCTTAATTTCCCAAGTTTAAGTGCAGTTAACTGGCTCTTTAGTTTTACTCGTAAATTGTAATTTATTTTAACATAAAATATTTACAGTTAAGTAAATGTGAACTTTTTAATGATTGAGTTAATTACTTTAGGTAATAAAGTTGAGGATTTTGTAATTGATCGAAATATAAGAATATCAAGAATATTTCAATAATGGAACAAAGGATTTGGAAATGTAATTACAGAAGGAATCTGGAGAACAAAGCAATTAAATACAATTCATTCAATATTAAGAATATTGTATCTTTAGAAGTTTTAGACAAAATTTAATTTATCTGTTCTTAACTAAAGAAGGTAAACATTTTCACAAAATCATGAAAAACGTCATTATGTTTTTCATTTTACTAATGATTATTTATTAGTTTATAATTTTTTGGGTGTATGCACTGCGACCTTGCGACCTTGCGACCTTATATATTATGCCCCTACTGCACTTTTCTTTAAGTCCGATTACCTCGACAAACCGTAGTAATTCGTGGAACATTTCTGTTCCTTATACTCGCCATTTTTTGTGCACTAATGCAGGACAATTAAGAAATACGTACATAGTCGAATATTTGTTAATTTCACAGAATCTACAACTAGTATTAACATGTATCTCTAGTTTCGGAAGGTGGCATTTTACTTTGTAGTGTCCTGTTACGATTCCTGTGATAATTCTTAAGCTGTTCTTAGATAGGTTTATACAGTCGTTGAATCTGTTATAGCATTGGTTTTAGACACAATTCTTTAAAAGAATTAAGTATAATTTTAATAACTATGTATCTTCTCTTTTACTCGTAGGATATACAATATATCGGAACTTCAATAGTCCTCAATCCAATTGATGCTATTTCAATCCTATTACGGTTTTTTTTTGCTGTACTCTATCTTTTCTATACGACCTTTTGTGTACTAATTGCAGTACATAATGTGTCCTAGGTAAGCTGATTTCCTTTGGCTTTCTTCTAAATAAACCATAATTTTTTTTCTTGAACTGAGGGCGGAAAAAACTAATATTCTCAGTCAGTTGACTATTGTACCTAAATCTAAAAGAAATTATAAGAATTCAAAACAGAATCACTTATCATAAGTCTAATTTTACAGTTTAGTTTTGTTGAATGACATCATAACTCAATAATCTTAATCTAGTTCTGGCAAATGCTATACAATAACAGATAAAGTATTCTGTGTTATCCACATCCACCTGTGTGGTGTCCTATAATGTCTGCGATTCGTATGCTGTGGTTCTTTGTTATTTTTCCTTATAGTCAGGTTATTTCACAAAACGTTTTGTTGCTGCTCAAGTTTTGAGGACAGAGAACATAAAATCCTTAACCACATGCAGAAAATTGTTTGGGTTAAGATACTTTTTAGTGATTGATTCATATTTTAATGATTTCTAATTTGTTCAAGCTGGAAGTTTTTAACATCTAAGATTATATTCTATAGAATAAAATTGATTAAAAATAGCATCTCTCAGATCGTAGCTTTTGTTTTAAGGGAAACTCTTGGTTAATTTGTATCTTGCTATATTGCAGACTTACTCATCCGATCGTCTCTATTTTGCACTTCATTTTATAAAAATAAATAAAGATTGAATAATTATGAAAGTATATTAAAGATATTAAAAATTTTTATTTTATTACTCTGATAAAATACCAAAGTGTTATATGAAAATTTAACTGCTATTGAACTTTTGTTATTTAACACAAGTGTCGGATAGTTTACAGATTTGCTGATATATTGTTGGTAATTTAATTGTTCATACCTTTCAAGTACCTTTCCTTATTGATGAATATTATTTATTATTTCAATTGTAATTGAATACGAGTACTTATATGTCACTTTGCAGCATTCACTCGTTGAAATTGATTCGAGTTGATTTATTGTTGATGTACATTTCGATATAAAATGAAAATAGCCAGGCCCGCGCTAACATTGCCGTGTCTGTGCAGCCAGCAAAGGCTTGTCAAAATGATTTGCGGCAATATTGTTTATCAACATTTGTTAACATTGATTTGCAACAAAAAGTTCAAAAAAAATTTAGATACATAAATCACTTAAACATGATTTTAAATACTTTCACTTTTGAAATAATATACATGAAGAAATTTAATAATAATTTGTTTAACGTAAAGTAAAAGTAAAATTAATTGAAAATTTTTATATGTAAATAAAAACTAATATCTTTCACGTCGTTAGGCTTGATTAAAACTCAAAACATTACAGACCTACACTGTGCGGTTGTAATGAAGCGAAATACTTCAACATTGCAAATCCTTTGTATAAGCACACGTGCTTCCATTACTTTCGAAAGGTAAAAATTGTTACAATTTTCTTGGAAGATCAGTGCAGCCATTGGAGTCTTTGCATTATTGCCACATATTGCAAATGTTGCGGTATGTGGCAACCACATAGTATTTCACGTCTGCAATTGTGTTTGTTTATGTATGGCAGAGCGACAATTGCTTATTGATAATATATTGTTGCAGCTGTGGACTTTGAGGTTGCTACTCTTATCACGTTGCGGTTGAAAGTTACCTTTACAGATTTTTGCACTGCAAATTTTTCACTTCCACTAGAAATTATTTGATATGTTAGTGAAATGGGAAAAGTACACTTCCTTATCACTTACATATAAATGATATATGTATATATATAGTATGTTTTATCACTTATGTATAATAATAGAATATATATATTATATATATTATTAATATTATTAATTACTATATAAGTGATTATATATTTTATCACTTAGTTACGTAGTATACGTACCCAATTCGACTACATATCTTATCATTTAGTTATTGCATCATAATGAGTATGATGTAGCAATAAAGATTTAAATTTATACTACTTTCTGCTCAAAAAGTGCTCGGATTTTGTAAATAAAACACACAAATTTAAATTTTATTCCAAATTTATTTTATCTCCTTCAAAATATTCTCCTTCTGAAGCGATACACATATGCCAACGCTTAACCCAATCTTCCATACACTTTTCGTAGGCCCGTGCAGGTATGGCTTTTAGTTCCTTCAGCGAATTCTCTTTTACTGGTTCAATGGACTCAAAACGCTTACCACGATTTGGTAAGCGTTTCGGACAGCTTGAGTTTCGAAAACAGGAAAAAATCGCACGGATCCAGATTTGGCGAATATGGTGCCTGAGCGATGACAGTGGTGCCATGTTTGATCAAAAAATCACGTACAACAAGAATTTTCCATAGTAAAAATCGCTAAATG